ACCCAAACTCGCATGGGAGGGGGAGCCTGAGATAAATTCCTCCCAGGGCACCCCAGGAGGGTTTGGGGGGTCCCGAACCCCCTCGGGGACCCAAAAACTCGCAGAGGAGTTTCGAACCCTGCACTCGAATATTTAAAAAAAATCCCACAAACTTTTGAAAATCTCAAGACGCCCAAAGGGCCCCCCAAGATCCTTCGGGAGGCCGCGGGATCCTCCCCACTATCCAAGATCCCTCCCTGGACATTGCCCCGGGCACTCCCAAGATTTTTAAGAGAGCTCTGAGAACCCCCAAACTCCCCTGAACCCCCCAAAAACCCTTCAAAGGCCTCCTGGACCCCTCAGCATCTTCCCGAGGCCCCCCTTGGACACCCCAAAACGCCCTGGGGGTCGTCGCAAACCCCTGGCCGGCATCCAAATCCGCCCCTGGGAACCCAAATACTCTCATAGAAACCGCAAGAGACCCCCGGCTCCCCCCCAAAAAAAGTCCCCCCAAAGCGTTATTAAAAACCTCGTTACCACACCTCGTTGCTCGTGACAGGAGTGGGGGGGGCGGGGAGGGGGCGCTGCCTTTTATACCCCGCGAAGACCACGCCCAATTTACGGTTGCCACGCCCCAGGCCACGCCCCCAGCCCCGCCCCCGGCGCCGCTGAGGCGCCCGGGCCGGGCGGATCAAAGGCCACGAGACGGGGGGGGGCCGGACCCACCCCGGCGTTACCGGTGGGGAAGCGGAACCTCGGGGGACGGATTTGGGGCTCTCCGCCCCACTCGTGGCTCGGAGAGACTCCAATTTTGGGGGTCTTTGCCCTTCTCCCCCCGAGGGAGGGGTCTCGCCGTCGTCGTCCTATTTGGGGTCCCCCCCGTTGCGCCGCCATTTTGTTGCACCCCAAGCGGCCGCCATTTTGTTGCCCCCCCCCCAGCGGCCGCCATCTTGTTGTGTCCCAAAGTCCCCATTCACTCTCTGTGGGAGCCGCCATCTTTTTGTACCGCCGGGGGGGAGAGGGGGGAGTTGCCATTTACGGACTCCCGCCTCGGCGGAGCGCGCGAGGCCTCCTCACTAAAAGCCGCTTCCCCCCCGCACGGGGTGGGACGACACACCCACAACCTGCCGCTTTTTGGGGGTTTCCATCTCTCTACTGTGGGACAAAACCCCGCGGGGAATCCTCGCGTGTGTGTCCCCCCACCCCTTCCGGCGAGCAATGGTTCATCTCCCACCCTCCCTCAGCCAATCACCCTCCCCGTTATCCCGGAAGCGTTGCCGTGGTAACCGCCCGGAAGTTCCTCCCGTTATCCCGGAAGCGTTACCGTGGCAACCGCCCGGAAGTCCCCTCAGGCCTCCCGGAAGCGGCGGCTCCGCCATGGGCGCCTCGAAGAAGCACCGGGAGCGCGGCGGGGCCGAGGCGGCCGAGGAGGCTCCGGGAGCGGCCGCGGGGAGCGGTGGGAGCGGTGGTGGAAGCGGGAGCGGAGCGGGGCGGCCCCGCGAGCACCGCAAGCACCGGCACCGCGGCGGGGAGCGGCGCGGGAAGCGCAGCCGCTCGCGGGGCGAGCGCGGCGGCTCCGGGGGAGGCTCCGGGGGAGGCTCCGGCTCCTCCTCCCGGCGCGGCGGAGCAGCCGAGGAAGCGGCGGGCAGGGGAGGCCATGGCCGGGGGGACAGAACGGAGCCCGACAGGAGGGCCAAGAGGGACAGGAAAGAGGAGCGGGAGGAGCCCGGTGAGGGGGGAGGGGGTGGATTTGAGGGGAAGAAGGGGGTTGAAAAGGGTCTGGGGGCTTGGACTGATTTTGGGGCAGGGGAGGGAGCTGGGAGGGGTTTTGGGGGGACTGGGAGGGATTTTGGGGCAACGGAGGGAGATGAGAGGGATTAAAGGCGGTTCTAGGAGGGACTGGGAGTAATTTTGAGGGGAGTGGAAGGAGATGGAAGGAAATATGGGGGCTGGGAGCGATTTTGGGAGCAGTGGAGAGAGCTGGGAGGGTTGGGGGGTCTGGAGGGGATTAGAGGGGCTGGAAGGGGTTTGTGGGGTTCAGGGAGGGTTTGGGGGGTCTGGAGGGGTTTTAGGGGGTCTGGAGGGGATTGGGGGGCTGGGAGGGGTTTGTGGAGGTCTGGAGGGGATTGGGGGGCTGGAAGGGGTTTGGGGGGCTCAGGGAGGGGTTTATGGGGGTCTGGAGGGGGATTGGGGTGGTCTGGAGGGGGTTTTGGGGGGTCTAGAGGGGTTTTGAGGGGTCTGGAGGGGATTGGGGTGGCTGGGAGGGGTTTGAGGGGGTCTGGAGGGGGTTTCAGGGGGGTCTGGAGGGGATTAGAGGGGCTGGAAGGGGTTTGGGAGAGGTTTGGGGGTCTAGAGGGGATTGGGGGGTCTGGAGGGGATTAGAGGGGCTGGGAGGGGTTTGGGGGTGTTGGGAGGGGTTTGAGGGGTCTGGAGGGGTTTGGGGGTTCTGGAGGGGGTTTGGGGGGTTGGGATGGACGTGGGGTTGATTTTGGGACCCTGAGAAGGATTTTGGGTGAGTTACGACGCACTTGGGGGTGGTTTTGGGGTGCAGGGAGAGGTTTTGGGGGTTGATTTTGGCCTGTTTTGTTATCCTTGGGGCTAATTATGATTAATTAATTAGCAATACCCATTAATTGCTCCCCAGCCCCCAAACCCGCAGCAGCCGAATCCTCCTTGAGTGTGGAAGAAACAAAGTGAGACCCCCCAACCCCTTCCCCACCCTTGGGTGCCCCAAAGGGTCCCCACCCCCAAAATCCCCCAGGCCCCCCTCACCCCTTTATCCCAATTTCCCAGTAAACTCCGGGCCAAGCTGGGGCTGAAACCCTTGGAGACCAACACGGTCAAGAAAGGTCAGTGGGGGAGGGGGGGGCACCCAATTTTGGGGGGCCCAGAGCTGATTTTGGGGTGCCAAGGGCCATTTTGGGGTGCCTGGAGCCGATTTTGGGGTGCCTGGAGCTGATTTTGGGGTACCAAGGGCCATTTTGGGGTCCCTGGAGCCGATTTTGGGGTGCCAAGGTCCATTTTGGGGTGCCTGGAGCTGATTTTGGGGTGCCTGGAGTTGATTTTGGGGTGCCAAGGGCCATTTTTGGGGTACCAAGACTCATTTTGGGGTGCCAAGGCTGATTTTGGGGTGCCAAGGCCCATTTTGGGGTCCCTGTGGCTGATTTGGGGTCCCTGTGGCTGATTTGGGGTCCCTGTGGCTGATTTGGGGTCCCTGGAGCCGATTTTGGGGTTGCTGGGCCGAATTTGGGGTCCCTGTAGCCAATTTCGGGGTCCCTGTGGCCGTTTTCGGGGTCCCTGTGGCCGATTTCGGGGTCCCCATGGCCAATTTTGGGGTCCCTGGAGCTGATTTCGGGATCCCTGTGGCCGTTTTCGGGGTCCCTGTGGCCGATTTTGGGGTCCCTGGAGTCGATTTTGGGGTCCCTGGAGCCGATTTTGGGGTCCCTGTGGCCGATTTTGGGGTCCCTGGAGTCGATTTTGGGGTCCTTGGAGCCGATTTTGGGATCCCTGTGGCCATTTTCGGGGTCCCTGTGGCCGATTTCGGGGTCCCTGTGGCTGTTTTTGGGGTCCCTGTGACCGTTTTCGGGGTCCCTGTGGCCAATTTTGGGGTCCCTGGAGTTGATTTGGGATTCCTGTGGCCGATTTTGGGGTCCCTGTGGCCGATTTTGGGGTCCCTGTGGCCGATTTCGGGGTCTCTGGAGCCGATTTCGGGGCCCTGTAGCCATTTTCGGGGTCCCTGTAGCCGATTTTGGGGTCCCTGTGGCCGTTCTCGGTGTCCCTGTGGCCGTTCTCGGTGTCCCTATGGCCGTTTTCGAGGTCCCTGTGGCCAATTTCGGGGTCCCCATGGCCAATTTTGGGGTCCCTGGAGCTGATTTCGGGGTCCCTGTGGCCGATTTCGGGGTCTCTGGAGCCGATTTTGGGGTCCCTGGAGCCGATTTCGGGGTCCCTGTAGCCGATTTCGGGGTCCCTGGAGCTGATTTCGGGGTCCCTGTGGCCGATTTCGGGGTCCCTGTGGCCGTTTTTGGGGTCCCTGGAGCCAATTTCGGGGTCCCTGTGGCCGATTTCGGGGTCCCTGTGGCCGTTTTCGGGGCCCTGGAGCCGATTTTGGGGGTGTTTCCCCCCAAACAGAGACGGGCACGAAGGAGGACCCGGTGGCCGCCGACGTCATCAACCCCCTGGCCCTGAAACAGCGGGAGGAGATCCGGGAAAAGCTGGCGGCAGCCAAGGAAAACGGCTCCTCAACCAGAAACTGGGGTCAGGAGGGGTGGGCATGGGGGATTTGGGGGCCTGGGGGCAGGAAGGTGTTTTGGGGGAGCTGGGGAGGGGTTTAGGGGAGTTTGGGTGGAATTGGGAGGGTTTTGGGGGAATTGGGGGTTTGGAGGAGAATTGCGGGGTTTAGGGGGCTGGGAGGGGTTTTGGGGGAGTTTGGGTGGAATTGGGAGGGTTTGGGGGAGGTTGGGGGTTTGGAGGAGAATCGCGGGGTTTGGGGGGCTGGGAGGGGTTTTGGGGGAGTTTGGGTGGAATTGGAGGGGTTTTGGGGGTGTTTGGGGCGTCTGGGAGGGTTTTAGGGGAAATTGGGGAGGCTGGGGAGGGATTTTGGGGGGAATTGGGGGTTTTGGGGGAGGGATTTTGGGGGAGTTGGGGAGGCTGGGGAGGGGTTTCGGGGGAGCTGAAGGGGGTTTGGGGTGCAGGAAGATGTTTTGGGGGGCTGGGGAGAGGTTTGGGGGAATTAGGGGTTTTGGGGTGCAGGAAGATGTTTTGGGGGCTGGGGAGAGGTTTTGGAGGTTTTGGGGGTCTGGGGAGGGGTTTTGGGGAGCTGAAGGGGGTTTTGGGGTGCAGAAAGATGTTTTGGGGGTCTGGGGAGGGATTTTGGTGGGTCTGGAGGATGCTTTGGGGTGTAGAAAGATAATTTGGGATGCAGGGAGGGGTTTTGGGGGTCTTGAGGGGGCTTTGGGTTGCAGGAAGATGTTTTGTGGTGCAGGGAGGGGTTTTGGGGAGAATTGGAGGGGGTTTGGGGGGAATTAGGGGGGTTTTGGGTTGCAGGGAGATGTTTTGGGGTGCAGGGAGGGTCTCTGTAGTCCCTGCAGAATCTTTTGGGTTCTCACAACCACCCAGTGGGTTTTTGCGGTGTCCCTAGGTGGGAGGTGACCCCAAAAAAGCTCTTTTTTCCCCCAAAAAAGGAAGGTGAAGACGCTGGGGGAGGAGGAGCCCTGGTTGGACGACGCAGCCGCCTGGATCGAGCGCAGCCGAGCCCTGCAGAGGGAGAAGGAGCTCGCCGACAAAAGGGTGGGGGGGACACCCCAAAACCCCCTCAAAACCCCCCAAAACCCCCTCAAAACCCCCCAAAACTCCCTCAAAACCCCCAAAATTCTCTCAAAACCCCTTAAAACCCCCTCAAAATCGTCTAAAAATGCTCTCAAAACCTCCCAAAACCCCTCCAAAACCCCCTCAAAACCCAGCCAAAATTCCCCCAAAAACCCCCAAATCTCCTCAAAATCCCCTCAAAATCTCCTCAAAAACCCCCAAAATCCCCTCAACACCCCCTGAAAACCCACCCAAAATCCCCACAAAACCCCACAAAAGCCCTCAAAACCCCCCCAAAATCCCCCAAAACCCCTTAAAACCCCCCAAAACCCCCTCAAAACCCCCCCAAAATTCTCTCAAAAACCCTCAAAATCTCCTCAAAACCCCTCAAAACCCCCTAAAATCCCCCCAAAACCCCTCAAAATCCCCCCCAAACCCCTCAAAACTCCCCCAAAACCTCTTCAAAACACCTTTTTGCAGCCCAAAATGCCGATTTTACCCCCGTTTTAGGGATTTTTAGACCCCAAACATTGGGGTTTTTTGCACCTTTAATTTGATTTTTCCCCAAAACCGAACCCAGCAGAGAATTCCCAAATCCTCAATTTCCCAGGAGGGGGTTGGGGTGTTGCTGGGGGGTTCAACCCCCATCCCAGTTGCTCCCAGTGCCCCCCAGAGTGGTTTAACTGGGGCTGCTCCCGGCGCAGGCGAAGCTGCTGGAGGAGATGGACGAGGAGTTCGGGGTGAGCCCCTTGGTGGAGGAGGAATTCCAGCGGCGCCGCAGGGTGAGCCGGGGGACACTGGGGACACTGGGGACTTTGGGGGGACACTGGGGGACCTTGGGGACATTGGGGGGACACGGAGGGACCCCCCCTGACCCCCCCCTGTCCCCCCAGGAGCGATACAGCGCCCGTGACCTGCAGGGGCTGACGGTGGAGCACGACCCGGCCTCCATCCCCGAGGGCCAGACCCTGGTGCTGACACTCAAGGACAGGGGTGAGGGGACACTGGGGACACTGGGGGACACTGGGGGCATTGGGGGACAGTGGGGACACTGGGACAGACCCTGGTGCTGACACTCAAGGACAGGGGTGAGGGGACACTGGGGGACATTGGGGACACTGAGGGGACATTGGGGGGGACACTTAGGGGACAGTGGGGACACTGGGGACACTGGGGGGACATTGGGGACACTGGGGGGACATTGAAGGGACACTGGGGACACTGGGGGGACATTGAAGGGACACTGGGGGGACATTGAGGGGATATTGGGGACACTGGGGACACTGGGGGGACACTGGGGGGATACTGGGGACATTGGGGACACTGAGGGGACAGTGGGGACACTGGGGGGACATTGAAGGGACATTGGGGACACTGGGGGGGACACAGGGCCAGACCTTGGTGTTGATGCTCAAGGACAGGGGTGAGGGGACAGTGGGGACACTGGGGACACTGATGGGGCACTGGGGACACTGGGGGGGACACAGGGACAGACCCTGGTGCTGACGCTCAAGGACAGGGGTGAGGGGACACTGGGGACACTGGAGGGACACTGGGGGGACATTGGGGGCATTGGGGACACTGAGGGGACAGTGGGGACAGTGGGGGGACATTGGGGACACTGGGGGACACTGGGGACACTGGGGGACACTGGGGGACACTGGGGGGACACAGGGACAGACCCTGGGGCTGACGCTCAAGGACAGGGGTGAGGGGACACTGGGGGGACTGGGGGGACATTGGGGACACTGAGGGGACAGTGGGGGGACAGTGGGGGCACTGGGGGGATTGGGGATATTGGGGACACTGGGGGGAAACAGGGACAGACCCTGGTGCTGACACTCAAGGACAGGGGTGAGGGGACAGTGGGAACATTGAGGGGACAGTGGGGACATGGTGTCCCTTGGGTGTCTCTAGGGGTGGTGGCACTGCTCTGGGTGTCCCCATGGTGTCCCCATGGTGTCCCTTGGGTGTCTCCAGGGATGGTGGCACTGCTCTGGGTGTCCCCATGGTGTCCCCATGGTGTCCCTTGGGTGTCCCCAGGGGTGCTGGAGGCGGGGGAGGACGATGCTGGAGCAGGTGGCACTGCTCTGGGTGTCCCCATGGTGTCCTTAGGTGTCCCCAGGGGTGCTGGAGGCGGGGAGGGCGTGCTGGGTGTCCCCAGGTGTGCTGGGTGTCCCCATGGTGTCCCCATGGTGTCCCTTGGGTGTCCCCAGGGGTGCTGGGTGTCCCCATGGTGTCCCCACGGTGTCCCTTGGGTGTCCCCAGGGGTGGTGGCACTGCTCTTGGGTGTCCCCAGTGGGTCCTCCCGGTGTCCCCAGGGGTGGTGGCACTGCTCTGGGTGTCCCCATGGTGTCCCTTGGGTGTCCCCAGGGGTGCTGGAGGCGGGGGAGGACGTGCTGGGTGTCCCCAGGTGTGCTGGGTGTCCCCATGGTGTCCCTTGGGTGTCCCCAGGGGTGCTGGAGGCGGGGGAGGACGTGCTGGAGCGGGTGGCACTGCTCTGGGTGTCCCCATGGTGTCCCTTGGGTGTCCCCAGGGGTGCTGGGTGTCCCCACGGTGTCTCTTGGGTGTCCCCAGGGGTGCTGGAGGCGGGGGAGGACGTGCTGGGTGTCCCCTGGGTGTCCCCATGGTGTCCCTTGGGTGTCCCCAGGGGTGGTGGCACTGCTCTGGGTGTCCCCACGGTGTCCCTTGGGTGTCCCCAGGGGTGCTGGGTGTCCCCACGGTGTCCCTTGGGTGTCCCCAGGGGTGCTGGAGGCGGGGGAGGACGTGCTGGAGCAGTCAGCGCTGGCGGCGCAGGAGCGGGCGCGCCAGGAGCAGGAGCTGCGGCGCAAGAAGCCGCCCTACGTCCCCTACGAGGAGGAGGAGCCCGGCCCCGCCCCCCAGGTCTGGCCCTACCCTGTATCACAATATATCGTGACATATCCTGACATCTCATGACGTAATTTACCATTAATTGTGTCTGCCAACATCAAAGTCCACCACATACAGTGACGTGTCG